CAGGGTTGCAGAGTTGCATCAAGAGCCAGGCAAAGGAGTAGAATGTTGGAGCAGATGTGCTCAAGCCCTGCTGCCTGTTGCCCCTCTGGAGGAAGACTTGTCTAGATTGAAATACAGGTAGGGCACAGCTAGAGACAAGGATGAAGCAGAGGTACATCCTCACACGGGCTTGTAGTTGAACCACTGCCTGCATTGCTTTGTGGGAGGGGTGACGGGCTACCTTCCAGGCCAGGATGTCCTCTGGCTGCTTGCCCCTGGCCAAGAGGAACCATGTACAAGTTATCTAAGGGTGTGACACAAAATGTAGCAGAGGATTTCTGAAGACCTCCTGCACTCTGGGGGAGCAGATGTACCCTGAAGTGGAAAATGCCGGCATATTTCCTCTCAAAGCTCTGGTTTTCTGGCACGACTGCAGCCAAGATGTCCTGGTGGAATGTCAGGGCTTTCAGGGCAGCCAGGAACCAGCAGTTTTCTGCGCCAAGACAAATGGACACATACAGTTGCATGAAAAGTGAGAGTTGTCAGCCAAGTTCAGGAACACCACCGAGATCCTAGCAGAAGAGCTGTTGTGCTGATGTCTTTAAAATTTTAACACAACACACACAGAAAATGAGACTATCCAGACGTGTGCTTTATTTAACCAAACCACGATTGGTTTATAATTGTTCTCTCATGATCTTTTCATTTGGATACTGTTTGGTTAAATAAGAAATTTAGCAACAAATAGCCCTCAATGGAAACATTCAGGTTTTTTTTTTTTTTTACTGACATTGCATTTACATGTCTGTAAAGCCACACTATGAACAAGAAAAACACTTCTCCCTTTTTCTTTTAAAACATTAACTTTGCAGAAGACAAAAGTAATTTCCAATGGAGCTTACATGCAAGACTGTACTTATCAGATCTTGTGTTTAAGGACTTAACGCCCTTAAAAATTAATTTAGTCCTGCCTCTACCTGTTTTTCAGATGACAATATGTCCTTTTACTTCAGGTAACACAGGCATAAAAATGTTTTTTCTAACTGCAAAGCTAGGAAGGGAACACACTCACACTATGCCTTAGATACAAATATAGCAAAAGCTTCAGATTTTCCTGCATCTGTGGTCTCTGTTCAATGGCCAAGCAGCAACATTACAGACCAGTAAGAGCACAGATCACTTCCTATTGCAGTACTAGCATGCATGGAAGCAAGAGCAGCAATTTCAGCTTGTGGAGACACCTCTCACGCCTCAAATCCCACCTTGAAGCTTGACAAGTTTTGTACTGAGCCTATCCCATCTTAATGATGGCTTTATCCACACCATGCCAAGCTAAGAGATAAGGATATGTGCACCTTCTATTTCTATGCCAAGTTCTATACAATCAAAATTCCACACAAAATGTTATCCTGTGTAAGAATACTTAGATATTTATACAAAGGAGCTTCCTTACCCACCAATCCCTGGCAGAGATCAAGTTGCTTTCTGTTTGAAGTATAAAATACGGGACTTCTGTGCAAAGCCTGGGAAGCACAGCACCAAAAAGAAAAGAGAGAGTTAGGTCAGTAACATGAGCTGGTTTAGCTTGAAACAAGGATCTTCTGTGTGCAGAGCTGCAGTCTCCTAAGATGGGAAATTCAGTGAGTTCCTAGTCTAGGATGTAAAAACCTCATGGATATGTTACACAAAACACTCCCTCTACCTGTTCAAAGATTTTTAAATATTTTGAGTCACTTCATCCCAGCAGACATTGTTCCGGTTCGGGTATAATTCCAGTGTTATCATGTGCTCTGGCTAACCTGACACAAGCCTGGGCACAAATTTGTGCTTGACCTCCAACAGAATTTGGTCTCCAACATAAGCCACTGGTGCTCAGATGCATCACCATGGGTCTCCACGAACACCTCACTGAGGAGACAACGCTCCAGACCTGCCAGGCCTGCTCCTCCATAATTGCTGACAGGTTTCAGCCAAAAGAGGTTACAATGGCAGAACATAACTGTTCAAGCTTTCAGCTAACCTGCCTGATGTCTCCATGATCTGACTGACAATCGGGTTACAGACTAACTGATGGCTGCTACAGAAGTTCCTGTTGCTGTGAGGAGAGTGGATCTGAGAATAACTGTTCAGAGAGAAATTATGTTGTTATTTTTTTTCCTCTCACAAGTGCCTCTGGGGTCAAATTAATAACTTAAGTATCAAACTTACGTTTCACTCTAATGACCCACAAATTGCTCAAGCTAGTTTTCACACTGTTGGCTTCCCCTTCAGGCAGTAGCAGAGAAAGAGCAAACCCTCAGAAGGCAGTTATAGTAATTAGATACCAACCCCTACCCTTGGTGAATTTGGTGTTCAGTTTGCAGGCCATCAGTCACGGATGCAGCAAGCTACAAGCCTGCAGGCTGAATGGCAGAATCTCAGCGTTTCCTCTGCAGCACAGGGACTGAAGGATGTGCAGCATCCATCCTCAGAGAGCTTTGCTGGGCTAAGTTTGGCATTCAGAGCAAATGGCAGACTTCTTCACAAGGCAGTTTTAGAGCAGCAGAACGGTGGACTGAGAGGCAAGGGAGGTTACAAGGCCATTCTAATACTTCTGGGGCAGAGGGACACCTGAAGGGCTTTGTAGAGGCAAGGACTCACGTTAGCCTTTCCCTCTCAAACACCTCTGTGCTGATATAGCTGCCTCAGCCACAGTGCCCGGCACAACCCAGCTCAGGCCCCTAAGGACTGCACTCTTCCTCTGCCTGCACATCCCAACCTAACATAAACCATCTGCAAGACTGAATTATGTACAAAACTCTGAGAAGCAGGGCTGCTGTTCCCAAGCTCTCCTGCTCACTTTGCAAAGGTGCCTCTACTCCCCCAGTGATTTTCATGAGTTTTGCAGAAAGTCAGCCCTTCTAAGAAATTGGTTAAATCTGACAAAATATAACAGCTATAACATAACTTAGCTAGGAGATGCTAACTGCTCTCTACTGAAATTCTCAGATAACTCTATACTTCGCTCTCAGGAAGATCTGATTGTCAATATGTTGATCAGTGGCTCCGTGAGAACAGAACTGCCAGCGCTAGTAACAGGCCAGAGCTAACAGGCCTTACCTAACTCTGCCAGTCCCCTGTCCTGGCCTCCTGGACTTGTTATCCTTTTGTTATGAGAACTTGCTCTGTGACCAGCACTCGGTACCAGGTGTCTCTTGGTGTGATGTCAGTTTAAGCGTGGGATATCAGCAAAGGCCTTGGAAATATGGGCACAAGCAGAAAACAGGTCCCAGAACTAAAAACAACTCACTAATGGATAGTCAAATTACTGATCATGGCAGAAGCTCAGCCTTGAGAGCCGGGAAAAGACTACTCTAAGTACAATAAAGAATAGACTAAACAGTTAAGCAGGAAAAAACCAGCACAGCAACAGGATAAAGCACCTGCCACTGCCTGTAAAAGTAGCAGCCTCCAGCGTAACAGTGGTATGTGGTCCATGGGACAAGGGTCAAAGCCTAAGAACTGTCTAGAAACTCAGAAATCTTCTGAAAAGTCAAGATCATGAATTCTGGGGAGAGGGATCATCGCCATGAGAACTGTCATCATGGAATCACGGTGGGATCATTGAAGCTGTGAGCTCCAAGGACACCAGCTCCCCCTCCTCCCTTCACCTGCCCTCCCCGCCCTCTCTAAGCATTACTGGGTATAAACTGAACAAGGCTGGTTATGATTTTGGGCAACAAATGCTCCAAAGGCAATTATGAAACTCCATGTACCCCAGCTTCCAAAATGACAGCTGATACAAGGAGTGTAATCTCTGGAAGCATTAAGGCACACCTAAATTAAAGTCTAAGAGTAGTCTGCTCAATGCTAAAACTATTTGCTGGCTATCAGCTGTAATCATCCTCTTATATAAGATAATTCACTGAAAGTCACTTACATGTGGCCTCTTCCACTGCAAATTTCGGGGAAGTTTCTTTAGCAGTGCTCCCGTTCCAATAGAGCTGATGTGAGCAGGGAAGCTGTCATCCGTGAACAGGCATTTGTTCTTCAAGCACGTCTCCAGCAAGGCCTGGTAGTTCTGCTGGATGGGTGGGGTGTGTTTTTGAAAGATACTCCTGCCTAAAGGCACAGGTAACTTCTTTTTTTTCAAGCATGGCAGAAAAGGCATGGCAATGTCCACAGTAACGCCAGGATAATTTTTTCCACTGAGGATTCTGTAGGGATCTCACCCTGCACAGTCCTGCTGGAAACTCCTTGTTTCTTGGGATGAGGTGTGTCTTCTCCAGAATCAGAATTCCTGATCAGTACAATAAGTCAGTTTAATCATGGTTTTTAAAATTTTCTCTTTAACTAGCAGGGGCAAAGGGAGAAGGGGGTGGCACTCCCAGGAGAAGTGCAGGACCTATCTGATTCTAATCTACCACCTATCCCTGCATTTTCAAGGCTTTACATTCGCTGTAGATCTGAGTGATTTCAAAATGGGTGACCCCACTGACTTTTACTGGGGCTTTGAAGCCATAGACACAGCTATTCTCAGTCTCCCTCTGGACTACTTAGGCTCTCCAGGATATTTTCATAACACGGTGCAACATGAATTACAGACTTTATTCAATCACATTCTGGCATGTGGACATGTCCCCTCCCAAAAAAAAGAAAAATAGCAAGACTAACCAAAGGCTAACAGTAAAATGGAATACATTAGGTGTTACAAAGCCATTACTCACAGCCCTCCAACAGTTATTTTGCCCTTTTTCCTTCATTTTGGAGAATGACACAATCTCTCCCATGAGATCACATTCCATCTCGCTGATTACCACAGATTCACACATGAAATCGCATGCTGAAATATTTTTTTCTCGTAACATTCAAGACAGATGTTTCTCATCCCCCACTGAAAACAGCAAGGAGGGATTTTATAGCCCTTTTTTAACTTTAGCAGCTATTCTAAACACTAGCAGCCATCACTTTTTGCTGCAAGTGGTGGGCTCCTGGGACAGATCATGATTAAAATCTCAGCAGGCGAATCATGCCCATCAGTGGTAACAAGGTGATCAGAGCCTTCTCATTACAGTGTGGACCGAAAAAATGAATCACGCTACAAAGTTCAACAAATGGTTCACATGCCATAATGATACAGTATTTGGAAGGCTTTCCCACAGAGGAAGCTCTCTGAGACTCAGAATCACTGCCCCAGGCACCCTAGGAAACTGGTCTCAGTTAGGAACCAGTTGATTGTTACTCCTGATGAAGCTGAAGGTCACAAGTGTTCCCTGTGAGAAATCAAACAACTGCAGATTGCACCGTCCTCCCACACAGAGCCCTTATTTGTTATAAAACCACTCTACAACTGATCCACAAGGCTTGATCCTCAAGGGCAACCAAAAGAAAATCTTCAAAATATAACCCTGGAAACAAAAATTCAATTTTCTATTGTACAGTAGACATTTCAGACCTGAAAAGGGATTTAAGTGCCTAGCAACTTGCCTACTTTTTCTACAGATTAAAAATACTGTCTCTCCCTCCAAACTTCGCCTTTTTACAGCCATTGACCTTCACGGCTACAATAACATGAGCAACAGACAGAGAGATAGATTTAAGAGAGAAGAAGAAAACAGCCAGGAGACTGGCTGCACTTTATATAGACAGACAAAACATGTATGAAGAATTTCTCCTTTTGCTGCTCTCCAGGAAAAGAAGTGGTAAGCAACTGACATACTTTGAGCTACAATGAAAAGCAAATACTTGAGACTTGATTCCTGGGTGTGCAGAGCATCCACAATGCCTCAAAAAATCATTGTAACCCTTCACCAGTTCTCACCTCAGTCTGGCATTTATTTGACAAAGAACTAAACTTTATAGATAGACCTTGAATCCCAGAGATAGTATGAAAAAAATAATGCTTTCAAAAAATGGAAGTTTAAATCACCTGAATATGTAGCTTTTTCTTCTAAGAAACTGAGCCAGCAACCCCAACTGTAACAGTATGTGTTGAGAGTCAATGAAGCAGCTACTTTAAATGTTTTGAAAACCTCCCAGCTGAACCTGCCTGTAGGTGTATTGTTTTAAATTCTTTTCCAAAATTACCTGGAAATCTCTGAACAAAAGATGCAATGAAGCATTTTATGTGTCATGAACAGTCACTACTTAGGCAGTTACAAGGTGTTACACCTCGTGTTTTAACCTTCTTCCTGCTGTCTGGCTGCAGTCACGTGTATGAGCCGGGGCTAGGCACAGTTGTATACAACTAGACAACTATATACATACATAGTATACAACTATCTACAACAGTATACAACTATACCTGGAAATCACTTCTACTCCACTCAGCAACGTTACTGAACCAGACTGAATTGGATTGTTCCACCGTGTCCTCTGGCAGCGGTGGGGCAGAGCGTGTGCACATCCCTCCCAGCAATTAGCATTTCTAAGGGAAAGCAGCCAAGTGTAGCAGAGAGAGGTTAAACGCTTTAGATGGAAGCCATGAGCCAGCAGGTTGGACGGATTTGATTCTCTATTCTTTGCAGATTCCCCTAGTTAGTATGTTTGCTATCTGATGCAAGTCCTTCCACTACATTAGCTTCCTATGATCTTCCTGACCTTTCTCAATATGTTAGATGCTATGAAGGGGCCTTATCCCTGTCTTAAAATGAGAATCTGAAGAATCCACAGAAAATCCTTCACTTTCAGTAGAAGTAACTGGACCGTGAAAGAATTCTCTGAGAGCCTCTTACTCTCTCTCTGAGAGGATTTACCTCAGGCAACATTGGGGCAGTGGGCAATTTGAGGGCTAAACCTGGAGCTGACAGAGCTCAGCCCAGCTCCTTTGATTTCATGAAAACAATCAGTATCTGGGCTGAGAAGCAGCTCCTGATTGTGTGGGACAGAGCAAATGTTCGCACGCAAAATAATAAATTTTAGGGTGAGCAGACCAAACACTGCAGGGCTATCTTTTACAAGCATTCTCGTAATACAGCAGAACATTAGCTACAGAAATTAGCACTCATTGTTCAAAATGGAAATGTGGCTGTATTAGGCTTTGTTAATCTTTATTAGTTTCTAAACACACAGTATGAAAACAGCACTTGCAGGTACAACCTCAAGTCTTTGATTAAACATAGTGGCGTGTGTCAGAAATAAAAACTCAAAGCTGACTCCCACTCTTCCTGTGGGCTTTTTAGCAAATAGAAATATCCTGAAAAGAAGCATTGAACTGTATTTGCTCACAAAATTAATGAATGTACAGACAGGTGGAGGACCTTGCTCTGAATTTCCTGTGGTTAGATTATTGGCTCAAAAGCTGATGAACACCTTCTAGTGATGAGATTTTCAAGGCTGAGCAGTGAACCTGCCCCAGAGCCTCTCACTAATGTTAACACGAAGTCTGTAGGAAAAATGCCTGGATGACTTTCAGAACTTCAAACAATACCTCTCTGAGCAAAGATTCACTTTTAAGACTCTGATTGAGAATTTAAAATACATATTCTTTGCTGTGTAAATTGTCCAAGCTACATCGAAATCAGTGAAAATACTAAAATCCCACCTACCAAGATCTGTTCTTTAGTACTTAAGGTTACAACATCCTATTCATAATCATCCTAGTCATTGGAGATTCTGATTGCCTACAACTGCTGTTAAAGTCAGATGAAACTTTTGATCTCTGCAGAATACTTTGTGATCAAGTATCAGCTAAACCACCCCTAAACAGCAAAACGGAGAGAACATGGGTGTACAAAATCTGGCTTAGCTAAAACACCAGCCTGTATTCCCAACCATTTGGCAGGCAGAAGCTTTGGAGCTGTAACATGCAGGGCAGCTGATGCAGCTCATCTAGTTGCTTTACATCACACCCATTCTTCTCATGTTTGCTGATATGAACTTTTTGCCTTTCCCTTCAACACTTTCAGAGAAAAGTGCAGCAGCAGCTGCTGCATTCAGCACAGCCCACAGTGTCGTGTAACTAATACACCCATTTGATCCTAGAAGACAGCTTCATCTCTAGCACCGTGCCTCCAACAAGTGCTGACAGTTACATGTGCTTCAAACCCCTAGAAAATCCTAACTCTGTGCTGGCCACAGACTGCTGAATGCCAGCACCAAATCCCCCTACATAGCACTTGGTGTTTGATGTCCTACCTTCTCCAGGTGTATCCTCACAGCCAAGGACAATTGTTCTGCTGGTAGTGATGCCTACTTCTTATAAATATGTTATCTCTACCTATGTCTGCATTTATGTGTATGCATGCATATTTATATATGTCTTGCCTACGTAACTCCGAGAGCTAGTCCTAACCTATCAAGCACTGTTGTATAAGGAGGAGGCGGGGGAAAAAAGCATATTGAGTAATGCCAGAAAATTTCTGAAGAGCCCAACACAAAATATTCCTCAGAAGACGTGAAAGAACAGGTCAGCCCATTGTGCAGACTACTGTTTGACTCACCGATCACTTCAGTGGATGGCAGCTTCCTTGTTCAGTTAGCCATTTGATTATTCAAAGCCCAAAACTCCACATCTCTCCATATATCACTAACACGGTATAGCAGGAAAAGATGTTCAACTGTGTCTTAATATATTTTAACAGGATTTCTGCTTTCAGGTAAGAAAAAGCTCAGAAAGGAAATACTCTCAAAACCCCCCCATTTTCTCAGAACAGGCGGGGCCATGACAGTCTCTCTACTTGGCCAATCACTAAATCATAACAATTTCTAAAAATAACATTTATGTAAGTTTGAGGGAAGTATATGTCCTATAAAAGACACAGTCAAAACCATCCAAGAGTTACAGGAGAAACCTCCAAGCTTCAGAGGATTTTTCTTTCTGGCATTATTACAGACACCATGTGGGTCAGTTCCCCTATGTGCAATACAACATGCTTTCTTTGCTGTAAAAATTTAAGGAGTGAACTCTCTGGAGGCAAGGATGCTTCCCACTCACTGTCTATACATTATCCAACTCCACGTCCTCTATTTCTGGTGGCACTTCTGGGTACCAGCACCTTGTTCCACCCCGGGCAATGAGGGGATAGGAGCAGCATGGTGAGGGTAGGGAAAAGGACAGCATGCATTAATCAAGCCATCTGAGAACAATGGTAGGAGAAACCTAATGGGAGGTATTTCAGAGGAATATGGAGGAACAGTGAGGGCAGAAGAAGGCAGAGTTTTAATGGCAAA